AGTCTCTCACATGATTGGAGCAATAGAAGTGAAAGAGAACTTTGTACGATATGTAGAAAAAACGTCTACCTGTACTGCTGGACGACTCGCATCCCCGGGATCGTCGGACACGTGTCGCGGGCATAATTTTCGGCAGTGCCCAGCGTCGATTTGGATAGTTTCTCCGGATATTCCTAAACAAAATTATTCATATTACATGCATCTCACTCGTATTGTAATGTAAATGATAGCGATATACGAAACGCTTCATAATTATTCCGAGCGCAAACATGAAGCAAACCGTATGTTCCCGACACCGAACGTAGATAGTTTTTCGAGATAAACAGCGCGGGTATAGATTTATCTGGCTGTATGAAAAATTAGAGGAGAGGCGCCACACGGAGTGAGTTCTAAGAAGGGGTGGCCTGAAAGGAGGGTGAGCGAGTCAAATTGTTACAACTGTGCTATTTTTGGCGCGAGCGCGTAGGATTCGGAATGCGGGAATACGTCGTTCTCGTCGTCGTCGTGTGATTCACGTTCACTCACGTATCCTCAGGGATACGCGCGCCATATTACTTTGCCATCTTTTCTTTTTTTTTCCTCCGCCAACTCGCGTTGCAAATATCTTTGCGCTCCGAATGATATGTCATAATCCGTGAATCGCAAAACTCGGCGAAAGATCTGTTCGATTTGAGATCGAAAGAGTATTATAATCACGTGAATTCTCTTACATGATTTATCGTATTATATCATATTCAATAAGAATATGTTTCGAGGCGTTTTAAAATTGTTAAATTAGTTATGATTAAAAATAAGTGGTTTCTATATGGGATTTGAGCAAAAGCCATATGGTGTTTTAATTGAAATATTAATTTCGATTAAAGCATTCAGGATGGTCTTCTTCTTCGTAAGCAGTCAAAGGTCGCGTTGTTCAATTGAAGTCAATAGATCGATGTGAGAATTCAACGCACGGCTGACGCGAAATTCGTCCAATCCAAAAGAACGATGTATTTTGTCTAATTGCACGCGAATACAGATATATAAAACAGAAAACGTTTAATTCTATACATTAACTTTATAATTTCGCTCTTCTCTTAAACTTAAAAAGTCAATATAATTATATATTTTACATTAAAGCACATATTTTTCATGTTTAATGTTGAATTTTGCTATTAATTTCTGAAACTTCTCGACTTGTAAATCTGAACTTGTCCTGTGTGACATGCAAATACTTCCTAACCGGATGTTTCATCCTCTCCTTTTAGGATGTCCGTTGATTAAGCATAAAATATTAATTTGCGATAAAGATCGTGTTCTTTTAGTACAATTAATGGTTTATATTAATAGACTTATACTTTTTCAGATTTCTTTCGCAAATGTGATATTTTTCTGTCTTTTTTTTTAACATTGAATTAATCTAGGATTAATCAAATTGAATTTAATTTACTATTAAAGAAATATCAAGGAATCATACACATCGAAATATTAATTTTGATTAAAGCGTTTTATACTAAACTTACCGTATCCGACGTCGATCATCTTTTCGTGCCGGGCGCAACAAGAGTGTTGTCGCGATTCCTCGGAGGATACCTTCTTTTCGCTTCCCAATTCCTTCTCGCAGAAAGCTAAGCAAAAAAAAAATTGCAAAATAATCATAAATGAAATCTATTAAGGAGTTAAAGGAACTCAATTTATTATCGGAAGTAAATAGACCGAAATTATCAATTTTAAATAAAGCTAAAAGTTGAAAATTTGGATCATCAATCGCATGTAGTTTAGAAAACAGATATAAATGTATAACTGAAATTAAATTTCGTGATTGACTCTTGCAGCAAAAAGTGTGATTTCAATGAGTTTGATCTTCTGTTTTGTAAATTGGAGAAAAATGGATCTTATCTTACTTTGTTAACTATTATAATACCATTGTATCAAAAAATATATATATTCATGTATCTAACATAGTAGCGTCGAAATTTAATTTCATCAAAATTCTATTAATAACTGGAATGTAATTAGCGCAATTATGTATTATAATGACTATATATGGAAAGAAAGGAAATAATTCTGAACATTTACATTCTAACATCTAATATTTATCACTATGTTATAGGTTTAGATACGGGAAAAACGAAATAAGAGAAAAGTAGAGCAGGAAAGGAGACGGAGAGAGGCATTGCAAAATAATCATAAATGAAATCTATTAAGGAGTTAAAGGAACTCAATTTATTATCGGAAGTAAATAGACCGAAATTATCAATTTTAAATAAAGCTAAAAGTTGAAAATTTGGATCATCAATCGCATGTAGTTTAGAAAACAGATATAAATGTATAACTGAAATTAAATTTCGTGATTGACTCTTGCAGCAAAAAGTGTGATTTCAATGAGTTTGATCTTCTGTTTTGTAAATTGGAGAAAAATGGATCTTATCTTACTTTGTTAACTATTATAATACCATTGTATCAAAAAATATATATATTCATGTATCTAACATAGTAGCGTCGAAATTTAATTTCATCAAAATTCTATTAATAACTGGAATGTAATTAGCGCAATTATGTATTATAATGACTATATATGGAAAGAAAGGAAATAATTCTGAACATTTACATTCTAACATCTAATATTTATCACTATGTTATAGGTTTAGATACGGGAAAAACGAAATAAGAGAAAAGTAGAGCAGGAAAGGAGACGGAGAGAGGCGACGTTACCTAATCGTAAATTAGCCACGCAAACTACGGCAAGGACTGCCCACCGTCCCATTGTGCTTTGCATGCGCATTTTGATATCGAGCGAATGAATGCGTGTATCGTTCGGAAGTGAGATTCCCAGGAGATTAGGACTGCGATCTTTACAGCGCCGAAAGATATACGCCGATATCGATGATAGGAACGAGACTGTCAGTGGTGTCCACGATAATCGATCTCTTATAACAATCTCATCGCGAATTCGGATGACTAGAAACGTATTAGAAAGGAAATTGACGCGATACTTTCGTTTCTTTCTCTTTTGTCACGTGCGAATTTAAATTGTACCCGGACGGATCGGGATCGAGATAGATCGATCGCGATCAGATCGTGCTACCCACGCGGTTTGCAATCTGCGAGAAGACTGACTGTGGCCGACTGAGAGACGTCCGGCTCTCTGACAACGGCGGATCTCTATTAATCTCGTTTGGTGAACGGGGTCCGCCTCGGGGTGATGGACGAGCAGATCGTCCATCAACTCTCGCCAGTCACCACCGCCGACCTGTTTCTATTGGTCGTCCCGGGAATTTTTTAGTTTTCACCCTGGATTGCGAAGAAGCAGGAATTCGCGAGAAAGTGAGCCTCTCGTTGTCAATATTTGTCAAGACATTACCTTTTGTATTTCTTATTGCTTTATATTTAATAGCCAGTAGCTCGTAGCGCGCCGTATTGGAAATCAATCCAGATTTCTTGTTTTTATCCCGAAGACGTTTGTGTATTTACCAGGCAATTAACCGATCCATTGATTAGTTTTCTTCAGGAATTTTAGTTTAATTTGTTAATATTAGCCAATATTAGTATTATCTGCTACTGTTATATTTATCAGATATTCACTTCGTATGAATAGAAGAATTAGAAATATAGAACTGGTACACCTATGAGAGAATTGATTTGTCGCTATACAATCCGATGAAATCATTAGTTGCATGTATATGTGTATCGAACAATATCTTTGTATCCACAAGATTATTTTTCTAAGTCGTGATATCTCGATATGGTTTGACATGATATAGAATTTCTTATTTTTTTTTCTTGGGTTTTTCTAGTCTAGAAAAAGTATCTACGATTTCTTAAAAAAAATAGAATTTCGTTTGTGCGTGGAATCTCCTCCTCCCCTCTCTGATATTGCTGGAATCCGGGAGGCAGAAGAAAAAGAGGGTAAAAAGAGGAAACTATCCTTCCTTCGTACCTTCTGCGCTTTTTGCCGTACCACCGTCGTCGCAGCACGGCGTAGAGGGAGGGAGATTCGTCCGGTTGCAACATCATCGCCTCTGATTACACCGGGAGATATCTCTCTCTCTCTCTCTCTCTCTTTCTCTCTCTTTCTCTCTCTCTCTCCGTTCTCCATGCTCGTACCGGGAGATCTCTCTCTCTCTCTCTCTCTTTCTCTCTCTCTCTCCTCTTCCCTCCGTTCTCCATGCTCGTTAACACACTCCATAGCTACTGCCAAGATCGTTGAGAGGTCTGCGAGAGGTCATTATCATTACTCATAAATTACCGCGCGCGCGCGGATCTCAATTTCGTTCGCCGCAACCTGCGGGGGAACGCTATTTGACAGAACATTCAGTGGCGTATTAAGGGGATGCGAAATAGGTGACTCCCCTCGCCGGATAACAGATGAATAAAGGGAAAAGAGAAAAATGCGCGTTTATTATACTTCTAAAATAAATCTTTTAAGGATTTACAAATAAATGTAGAAAGGAGAGCGGGTAACAAAAAAAAAAAGTACGCTGCTCTCCGTTTTATATTGAAAATTGATATTGTAAGAATGGAAAATGTGCTAATTTTACAGGAGTAAAAAAGCATCACAATTAAGTAATATCTTTGATTCCATTTGCAATGAGATATTTTTTGTAATTTATATGCCATGACATGTATGCTTTTTAAATTAGAAAAATGTAAATCGAAAGAATCAGAAGTATCAGTACAAGAATAAATATAAACTTTTTGATGTGTGATTACAGAATCAAATCAGAAGGATGGAAAACGTGCATGAGTCAGATGCTGATAGTGGAGACTGTGTCTAAACATAATCCAATTGATTGTGAGACGTTGCCATCTTTATTTTAGAAACCACCTTTAATCGGGAAGACACTTTTGTATTTCTACAAGTATTAATATCGATATTAGTATTATTAGTAGATATTTATTCATTTGTCAAGCAAAATAAAAAGTTTACATAACTAAGAAAAACATAAAAGTAACGCGTCGAACTTATAAAAGTAATATTTTTTTCTGTTTCAATTTGTCCGAGCCAGAATTATTGTAAAATCATGGTACAGTAAATTTTTTAAGAATAAAATTATACAAGAATTATATCACTGAATCATTAAAATGATTATTTTTTAAATAAAGTAATCTCTCTCGAAATATTTATTATGCGAATTTTAATTCGTATACGCTTAGATTGAGATACAATTTTTATTTTTTCGGAATAATAAAATTTATTATTTGACTACTTTTTTTTACAATTGCATTGATAAGAAATAATAAATATATTTTGATTAATTTCACGCTTGCTAAAAGACAATCTAATACGATTGTATGATACATAATAAAGATATATTAAGCTTCCCTATTCACAAATTATATATATATATATAAAGTTTGTAAGAGAGAAATATTTAATTTATATATGTTATATATTAATTTTTCAAATGTCTATATTTTCCTCATTTGATTATATCTTTTGTGCAAAAATGGACTTCATAAAGTTATTTTTTACATATATCTATATGGACAAGATGAATAATTAAAAATAAATTTTAAAAAAATTTAGGAACCGAATTTTTTTTTTGTAAATATTAAGGAAGTTTGGATGTATATGTATATATATTTCTAAATCTCTAGACTATTTTTAAATTTACCTGTTACAATTTTTGAATTTTTTCTTACGTAGAAAATTAGATAAGTGATCGTCACGTAAATAATTGATATTTAATTTAATTATTTAATTTAATTATATTTAATATCGTTTCATAAATTTTTATCAAAAGACAATCCTCAAGTTAGAGTGCATTCGAAAATCTTAACCGTGAAGTAGAGTAGCATTTAATTGATTAAAAAGAGCAAAGATTTTTTATTTATTTATTTTTTTTTTTTGTATATAAGCAAAGAGAAGCCAGACATCACGACCCGTTTTTAGGCGATCTAAACTGGAAACGATACGTCCTCTGTAGACATAGAAATGTGGACATTGAACTACGTAGCCAATGTCCACGAATGTTCTCAGTGGGTAACTCATTCCATTCTAGCATCACTATACATCCGACTGTGAATATATTGAAAATGTAACAGAATTGCTTCGAAAAATAAAATAGGACTGCTTTGTGGCCATTGATCACGCAATTACAAGTGAACCATGCCTCTATATAAAATTTTATTTGTTCTCTTACAAGCTCTGTCGGACGCACTGATTGGCTGCAAGAGAATCCTAGAAATTCCCTATCCGATAGCCAATCGATACGTCGGTCAAACTTATCATACGAGACTTTATTTACCGTCGTCCCACAAATTCTGCTACGAATTTTATCCAATCGAATCTCTCCTTTTCGCGTTAGAAAAGATTACTTGTTTATTACGTACGATTTTGACAAGGGTTGAGGTAAAAATTTGTGCACCGTTCACTTTTCAGAAGAAAAATTAAAGAAGACTAGATGAAAATTGTCTCATTGGTGTGGCATTTTATTGATATTTTCCCGATGTTCCCATCGACCTTATTTATATCGCGGTGTTGTTTATACATGTCATCATAATTTTTACAAAGTAGACGAGGCTACGTTTAGCTCTATCTATTGGCGAAGGCGACAAGTATCATAATTCTGCTTATTATATGCATGTGTGTGTAACGCTATTCTTTTTTTCATACATATATGTATATATATATGCATATATATATGTGTCTAAATCCCGAAACGAAAAACATCGGCAGATGGCTCGAGATCTATGTTGATGATTAATAATGCCCAGTCTCAGAAATTGATGGCATTAAGAACGGCGAAAAAGCGCGGAAAAACAGCGGCGGAATAGCAGTAAGTGCGGACGAAAAACAGCGAGCGATCAGCTCCGACGATCGGACCGACCGACCAAGATCGACTCGGATTGTTAATCGAATTTGTTGCTTCGAGAAGGAGAGGGCCGTCCGTGTGTCGAAGTGGTAGCCGCGAGAGAAACATGGCGTTTGTTTCTCACGTTGTTGTACCACGACCAAGTGTCGCTGCCTGATAGAAACTCGATCGCCGCCACGCTTCGCAAATCCGCGGATCGACGGACGGGGACAACCCCGTCGTGGGTCGATCTCGTCGCGACACCCTCGTCTAGGGTGCGCTCGATGCCCGCGTCACGCCGGACTCGAGCATGAGGATAGATTGCATCCGTGTCCCCTGAGATGCCGATAAAGATCCCCGAGACAAGCGCACAATGACGTCCCGCAGTTACACCAAGTCATACAGTCGTAAGGTCAGCAGTGTAACGGCCGGCAGTATTCAATTCGATAAGCTCTTTCGCGAGAACAGCAATCGGCCCTCCGCTGCCAAGTCAGCGGGCACTGTTGGCAAATGGGGTGTAACATCCTTCACGTCTATCAGGAGTACGAATATCAATGGTACGCACTTATTCCAGTATGTTTACGTTAGATCTGATATAACTCGCTGTGTCAATATCATGCATTGCTGGACGCAAAAATATACTTCAGCTTTACAAGTATAGCAAGATTTTTATCTTTTATGTAACAAAATTTATAATTGTTAAATTTTATACCCTGAAACATTATTGTTCTTTATATCTGAAGTTATTTCCACAATTGTGCGAAAGAAAAATTCAAAAATTTTAGCTATAAAAATACACAATTACATATAAAGTTTTTCTATATTTCATGACAAGAGTATTAAACCGCTAATCTGAGTATAATTCTGATAATAATATAAATGTAATGAATCAGGCAATATACATTTTTTTTACATATCTATAATCAATTCAATCATCAATCTTTATTATTGAATGATAATTTTAATAATAAATTTACAGGACATATTTCAAACTGAATTTTAGACTGATAATTAGTTGATCTTACACTAATGTGATATTATTTTATGTTTCAATATTAAACAATATTCAATATGACACTATATGATTGCAATGTGCAGAGTCTGAGAATTTTAACAATTGATAAAAATTTTCAATACAATGAATATCAAAAGTACAATAATAAATTATAAAATTATTGTATCTTGCACAATGCAACATTTATATACAAATGTATTCTATTTTGTTGTTAATAGAATACATGTAAATAAATATATGTGATTTTATATATCTTATAAATTATCATTAATCATAAATATTTTTATCTACATACAACATTAATTATTTTTGGAAGAAAGTTTTCAGGATATATTAAAAATTTTTATAAGATATTGTAATATGCTTAACAGACTATCAATTTTAACAATAGGAAAACAAATAATAAATAGTTCTTATATAAAATTATCGAATTTACAAGTATTGCAAAATATTTCATTTTCAGGGAGACGAGATGATATACATAATACATTTGGCGCAAAGAGAATGAAACTCGATTATGGAAATCAGAATCGCGTAAATTCTGGAAAGGATCCGTTCTCTTTTGAGACCGATCCGGATAACAAATCGGACGCTTCTCCGGCGGTTGTAAAGCCGAAAAAGTTCTTCAAAAGCAGAAATGCCCCGCCTGTGGTGGAGGAATCTCGCCAGGATGTAGCAATTTACAGACAAGTACCTGATTCGCAATACGGTAGAGCTCGTATCCCGAAGCAACCTGCGCAGCAGCCAACGCAGAAGCAGCAACAGCAGCAGCAGCAGGCTATAACGAAAGTATCACATGCTCCAATTAAGAAAGTAGTAGAAAGTTTAGATAGTACCAGTACTCATGATATCTCTAATCGAGAGGAGAGCAAACCTCCAATTGTGTTAAGAATATGCAAAGGTACAGCACGATTGGTTTGTGGAGACGTGCATCAGGATACTCAGGAGCTGGAGCCCGACACCTACAGGATTTCCACTCCCGTCACTAGTCCGTCTAAAGTGGACATCGAACGTAAGACCCTCAATACGGAGGCGCCGCTCAAATCTGATCATAGATCTTTGCGTACGCATCAACCTACCGTCTCGACTGTATCGATTCCCTTAGAGAACTCGGACATGAGGAGGACCACTCGTAGTCGCGCGAAGAATCTGCACTTGGACTTAACGGCGACGAGTCCCGCCGTGGCGCCGTCGACGACACCGATAACTCCCAATTCGCATGGTTCCGGTCTCTCTCTAACACTGAGAAAATCCGTGACGGACTCCAATAACACACTCATATCTCATTACGATATCGTTAAGACTGACTGCAGCTCAACATATTCCTCCAAACCAGTGATTGAACCGTTGATCGGACGCGATCAACCGCTACCAACCACGACTCAGGAGCTAATCGATATACTCTCGAGCGACTCCGATACAAAACCAGCATCAGCACCATCATCGCAGCTGCCACCTCCATCATCGTCATCGTTACCGCCTCCACCATCATTACCGTCACCATCACCATCACCAGTAATACCCAATGATAATGATAATGCAGAAAATATAACTGCAGAAACATTGGAAAGTGTTGAGAGCCAAGTTCAACATTGCTCCATTGATATCCTGACCAATGAAATTGTGGTACCTGTTGTGCGGCCTGAACCCGTTGTGATAGCGCAACAACCCGAACCGGAGGCAGAACTCGAGCCCGAATCACCTGAACCGGAACCATCGGCTCAAATCGGAACGAACAACATTGTAACTATCGAGACTACCGTCGCTGCCACCACAGCCGCCAAGACTTTGGTAGATCAAGATTGGTTCTCGGGCAGTGATGATAGTGAAGGTGCTAGTGGAAACGCCGAGAATGAGATAGCATTACATGTGACGAGTACGGTCTCTGAATCGCAAGTCTCCGATCCACCGTCGACGACGGTTTCCGCGTCAATCAAGCCTGCCGTTAAGAAAGGCAGTATCTTCAAAAGTCGTTCGACGGGCGCGACGGACGGAAATAAGAGACGAGCGTTGTATAAGCACAAATGGTGCGACAGCGACAAGGAATCGACTGCTGCGGATACGCCTACCACCGGTAACAACACGCCAACTACCACGTCTGGCTCCAGCAACGTTGAACCTGTGGCGTACGAGGAAGAGTTTGATCCCTCGCAATTAACGAGAGTCGTGACTTATCCCGCGGCCGACGCAGATTTCGAGGATGAGGCCGATGCAATCACAAGTATTCGCTGCGGTAAAAAAGTTAAAGGAGT